GGAACACGCAGAGACTCACCTGAACACACCTGAACGCACCTGAACACACCGTGAGCCTGACGTGACGCTGCGCTGTGAGCAGCTCTCGTTTGCTCGCTTCTAGAAAAATCTCAGCGCCATCATGAAGCGAGCGCCGACAGCGAGCCCGTCATCACTCACAGTATCGATAAAGTTCAGCTGAAGCATCGTACCTTGATCAGAGACGCTCTTCCACTTGGCCTGAACCATGGTGAACTCGCCTCTGATGATCTGATCGGTGACCGACTGATGACCGAAGCTCTCGTGGAACGGAGGGTAACCTCCCAGGCTGACGGAGGACGGGAGAGAGGGGAGGAGTCAGTGATGAAGCAAATCATCAAACCTTACATAGAAATTTTCACAGCTTTCAGGTCATGTTTGACCTCTGACCCTGGCTGTTTCTCTGCGGCTTCCTCGACAGTCACACGCCTGCAGGAGCCAGGTGACATCACCGCCGAGGTAAATGACTCGTAAACCACGAGATGTTTATGGAAACCGAGTCCTACAGGGATAAAAAGCGGACGCGTATTCTGCTTCTTCTTCGTTGGTGGTGTGAGCAGGCGTAGGACGCTGTGAACACGACAGCGACGCGTGCCGAGGTCTCGGGAATCAGCCGGTCGTTTCTGTCACTCTGCTGCTGAACGCCAGCGTTTTCTGTCTGCATGTAATACGGATTCATCCCGGGGAGGAGCCTTTCTGAGGTCAAAGGTCAGGTGACCAGGGACTGAACGTGGGTGTAAAAGCAGCAGATGCCCACGAGCACGTTTAACCCTCTGGGGTCGACAGAGGTACCGGCGCGTCAAAGTCACACGACCAATTTAAGACGACGCAGCAACCAGATGCAGCGACCCAGAGTCTCGTTTCAACCCGGTCGAAAGTGCGGACGTCAAACTTTAGTTCTGACAACAACACACGCCACGTTCTTCTGAATAAAACCGCGTTTTCTAAGGGCAGCGCTAGCAAACACTTCCCTATTGGTGTTACAGTGCACCATGTCAACCAATCAAAAAATGATATGGCAACATGT